TAATTTATTGGAGATCTTAATTTTGCTGTTGTTAGAAGTTCACCAAAATCCTGACTCCAAACTTCCCGTGTTTCCTTCCTCAACACATATTTTTTCATTTAGCAGTCTATATAACCAGTCGTGCTACTGATCTATGCAACGGGGAACTGTTGTTGCTACTCTCGTATTCATTAAAAGCATTTCCCTCTTTTTTCATGCATGTGAAGTGAAAAGATAAGTGTTTTGGGTTCAAATTTGACTGTTATTCATAATTTGATTTTTGATCAAAATTATTAAGGTTAAAAGATGAATTAAATTATTCAATGTTCGATTGAATTTGGCTCATGAAGAGCTTGTTTGAATTTGATTCGCCAACTAATTAAATCAAATTTAAATAGTAATTTGTGTTTGATAAATTTTTAAGATCAACTCGAACTCAATTGGATTAGTATATTAGTAAAGTTTGAATATAAAAAGTTTAAACTATTTAAACTCAACTCGAATTCAGCTCACTAAAAACTTGTTCGAGTTTGACTCAAGAAATAAATAAGTCAAATTTGAACAAAATTTCAAACTCGTCAAAATGATAAAACAAGTGTAAACATTTGGATGTTCGCCTTTTTTAATCTCATTTACATCCTTAATAATGATAGGAATACTTGTCTTACTATTATTGTTGTTGCACAATAATAGGGGAGGTAAACGTATGTATTTAGCAAATTGCACCCTTATCCTCAATGTCATTCCTTGAAACCTCTAAAATACGTCTATCTTGTTGCCAAAAAAGTACAGAAAAGCCAGGGAGTTTTGTTTACTTCTCTTCTTGCTTATGTGGTTAGTTTGTCAGCGAACCATCCCATAATTTTTGTGTCCCGCACAATTTGCAGGACATTTTTAGGAATGAGCTAGTTAAACGCGAAATTTTGTGTGGGTCCAAAGTAATTTGTTTGGACTGTCGTTATTAACCAAAAAATTTTTATTATTTTGCATGAACATATTTTCTAATTATTTTTTTATTTCACATACATGTAATCATATCACCCATGTAGGTAGATTATCAACAACCACTAATGAATTCCTATTTCAGGTAATTAGGTAGACTCATCATGTGTACATATTAGTAGCAGGAGTATTCCTTTCAGGGAATCCCTCTATTCCACATTCTCCTGCATTATTATTATTTGCCTTAAGGTCGTTTCGCCCCTTACTTTTGTGCCAAGTAGATTTAATCATGTCTGTGGGTACATTATCTTCCCTTATCTCTCCCATTAAATGATTGATAATTTTACCAAGAATACTTTCACACTTATCATGAAGAAGAAGTTTTGTCATCTTCTAAACCCATGTTTTAATGATTGTACGTTTCGTAGTAGAAGTAGAATTTTTGTCAGTCTTCTAAATCATGTTTCTGTATCTTGTCGTTAGATAGATATGTAAATCACAATTCAATTGTGTTGAATCTTTCAAATTCGCCCGTTAATAACCAGTTCAAATCCGTTCAAATCCATTAATGACCCTTCGAAATCCAAATCCGTTCATTAATTTTGAATGAATTTATAGGTACCAATACTAATATAAGTGACTCATAAATTTTTACACCTGTCTATAAGTTACCATTTAAAATTTTTACACCTGTATATAAGTTTTACAGGCGTAGTCGTATCACTAGCTTCACCATCCAGCCACTCAATACTATTGTTTCTGACTTCCTTCCATGGCTGCTCTTCCCAAAAGCTCCACAGCTGATCGCTCCCCTCACTCACAACCAAACACCAATGGCAGCCCACTGCCACCGCCAAACACCTCTATCCCCTACTCCACAACACCACCATCACCACCACCCAATCGCCACAACCAACCTCGTAAAGCTGTGAGAATCGTACCAGACAACGCCCTTTACCTCGTCACTTTTGCTGTTTGCGCTATTTTTTTGGTCCCCATCGCCCTCATCTTTACATCCTTGATTATTCTCAACCCTCCCACGTTCCAAGTCGACTCCCTGGCTATCTCCAACTTCAATCTCTCCTCCACCACCCCTACCTTTCTCTCCGGCAATTTCGAAGTCATGTTCACTACTCGAAACCCGAAAAATTTCTCTCTCTCTTGTATCGATCTCGTGGCTGGAATCTACATCGGGAACGAGCAACTTTTGGTAACAACTCTTCCGCCGTTTACTCTGCCGGGGAAGAAAGAAACCTCTATCAAGGCGGATTTCGCTGCTGTCCGGTCTTATATTGACGACAGTGGCAAAAGTGGGAACTTGGTTTTCGAAGTTCGAATTGAAATGCTTGTGAGTTATGAGGTTGCTTTGCCGGGGCATGATAAGTACATGGAGGCCCGTTGCCCGGATTTATCCGTTGCGTTTCCAGCAAATGCATCATCAGCTGCTACTGAAGTTGGGTATTTAGTCGGAGGACCTAGACATTGCAAGGTCAAATGAAGACAACCAACTGATCTGTGGGATTTCATGTAGAGAAAAACTTGAAGTTTCGAAAGTTATTACAGTAGTTTGTAGCAGAATGAAATGGTAGGATATACTTATGAGCAATGTAAATATTTAAACATGTTTGCTGATGGGTACATGAACTTGAATTAGGGGATTATTGATCAAACGGTGAATTGATGACTGGGTGTAGCATGTAGTTTAACTTCTGATACATATGAAACCGAGTTTCCAAGGCATATAACATATTAGTAATATATCTTGGTGCTGATATTTTGACCTTTTGGTTGATGTTGAATTCTTTTCTTCTTCTTCTTCTTCTTCATTTTTTCCATGGTGCCAGTGATGATGTTGTATTGTAGGTTGGTCATGCGTTAGTGTTCGAGTTTTAAGATTTACTTGTTCTGCAGCTATTCTTCTCTCTTGCTTTACTGAACAGGGCGGGTGAAGTGCATATGCTTTCTGCCGCTATGAAGCTGTCAAATACGGTATTTGTGCATGACCCTTTCATTCATGACTCTCTGCGGGGCCGCAAGATGTAATTTGATGTCAATGATTTCGGTTAGAAGTGCGCAGCCTTACCTAGATTTGTGATGTTACAACGCTGGATTTTTCCCCACTTCATATTATGCTAGAATTCATGATGATATCAGTAATTATCGTACTGCAATTAATCATTTGTGATGGTTGGGTAGATACATGCATTTTCGAGTTTTACCTTTCTGGCAATACAGGAATCATGCGGATTATGCTCTTGGAATAATCAGTGTTCAGCCGTACTCTCTGGAATCTGTTCTATTTACAAGCATGGTGATCTACTTTACAGGTAGCTGCTATCAGGGTTAGATGGTCAGGATCAGTGCAGTAGTTGAAGTAAATTCCTAGGGCGATTGGGTGAGGACTTGGTTCTGGATTGTTTGGATTATCTCCAAAATTTTATTTGCTTGCATCGCTAACACATTTTTCAACCACTTTTTTATCCCGCATATATCAAATAAAAAAAAATGTGCTACAGTATTTTTTAAAAAAAGAAATTATCTCAAATAATCTACTATCGAAACTAAGATCTACAACATATAGGAAGCAGATTATGACTTTCGATCCATACGATATTTGTTTGTTCGACAGTGATTACTCTTTGCTCAATCGTTTATGGTATCAAAATAATGTCCCAAGTGACAAAGGGATGATGATATAATATAAGTCAACTTGTGTAATGCAAGGCAGAGTTGGACAGTGCAGACTGCAGAGCAGCAGATTCATGGTCTTAAAGGTAACAATGGCATAAAAGCGATGATATGCTGTTGATCTGGAGAACATATGGCTTTCTTTGCACTTGGCACTAAAGCAATGTACATATGAGTTATGACCAGAAGCCGTATCATTGGCTTGCGAGTTTTCGTTTCATGTTTGGCAATATCTATACAACCAATTAGATTTATTTGGTGGTGCTCTTCTGCTAAATTTTCAGGGTTTGAACCTGCTTCCAATCAGTAAATCCGATATCTGCATTATCAGTTGTTATTGTGATTTTTGGCCATGGACATTGAGAGGGTACAAGAATCTGGTTTTGGTAAGGAGAAGTAACAAATACTAGTATCATGCTCTGGGAGTGCCTTGATGAACAATAGAATGTTCTGCTTCCCATTTGATTTTGGTTCCTTCACAGAAATAGAATCTGGTTGGAAGACCACGTCAGACAAAAAAATTGCTTCTATAAGTATAAGGTATGTTAAAAAAAAAAATTCTAACAAAGGAGGAGTTGAACTTCAAAAGCAGAGAGGAGGTTGGAGAATTTGAATTTAGAACCTATAATGTCATTACGTTTTGATCAATCAGCGAAAATTAAGACTTTTCCCTGGATCCAAATCTCCCTTCTTTCTCACTCTGCTTCTCAAATTTCACATCTTCTCTATTTAATTTCTTTTTTTTTTTTTTAAAAAGAATGATAGGAACATAAATCCTATTATGTGTTTTTTTTTTTAATGACGGATGTTAAGTTTTAGCATTATTACAAGTTCATCAAATTCGACTGGAAAGCTCTTTAATCCATGCTCACCTATTTTTTCATAAATGCTTACATGTGTCTATGGAAATGTAATTAACATTGAGCCTCCCATATCCATTAATAGCATTTTCCTTGATTTTTCTATTTTTCACGTTTAGTGCAACTTCACAAACAAATAATCATTTTTAAATGCCATGAAAAATAGAAGTTCTTTTTTTTTTTTTTTTTTTGCTCTGATTCATATAACCCAAAAATCAAGAAAAATGCCATTTACAAACAAAATGCTTGAAAATGACAATTTCTCAAAAAGAAATACGTTTTAGATTTGGACTTCGGATGCAAAAGCCCATTACATTTCGGTCCTTGCGACGAAGTAGCATTGGAGATTTGGAGTCAAGGGCTACCTACACTACGTCGTTTCACAGGATGGCCTGCTATTCACGGTATAATTAGCTGTCGCCATTTGCCCACCGCCGGCCCCCATTCCACCACCGCCGTCGGAGGGAGAGAGAGCAGCCTCCTCCATTCAGGGACCCAATAAAAGAAAGAAGATTTCTTGGGCGTCGCAATATGAAGAAGACTATGATGGTGAAGATCAATAGAAGAGCTTCTGCTGTTGTTTCCATTGCTCACTTTCAGAAAGCACGAGCTCCACCAGGTATCTCAACTTCTGCTCGAACTTTTCTCCCTCCAAACCCCAACCCTAACCCTAAATTGAAGTCCCAATTTCGATCGCATTCTGCTGCTTCTGTTACAACAATTGCTAGTAGTAGCCATCAGCCTTCTAGTAGTAGCCATCAGCCTTCTAGGAGTTCCGATATCAGCCATGAATCTTTCAAGAAGAAAATTGATGATATTAATGAGCTGGAAAATGCTCTGAGCTTGTACAATGAGATGGTCCAGATGAGGCCTCTGCCTAAAGTTATTCACTTCAATCAACTGCTGAACCGTATTGGTAAGATGAAGCATTATTCCTCTGCTGTTTCTGTTTTCAAAGATATGTGTGCTTCGGGCAACATTCTGGTTACCGAGTATGCCATAGGTATCACCAGTAACTGTTACTGCCTCTTGGGTCGTGTAGATTTTGGCTTTTCTCTGTTAGGCTCCTGCTTCAAGCGTGGTTTGGTACCCAGTTCAGCACTTTATGGCACTCTACTCGAGGGCCTCTTTAAACAAAATAGGATTTCCCAGGCCCAAGAATTGTTCAAGAAAATAATAGACGAAAAACTTTGCCAAACCGATGTGGTCATGTTTGGAACAGTAATTGATGGGCTTTGTAAGGTGGGGAACACTAGCACTGCCATTAAATTTCTCAGGGTAATGGGAAATGGCCGAGATGCTAATGTTCAACCCAACAATGTTATCTACACCACTATTATCGATAGCCTTTGCAAAGATAAAAAGGTCGATGATGCTCTTGCCCTTTTACATGAGATGATTGAAAGGGGTGTTGCCCCCGGTATTGTCACCTACAATTGTTTGTTTCATGGCCTCTGTAATTTGGGAAGAATTAAAGATGTCACAAATCTTGTGAATCAGATGGCTGATTTTTGTATTGCTCCTGATGTTTTTACTTATAATACTTTGATTGCTGCATTCTCTACAGAAGGTTCTATGCAAGATGTAGAAGATATATTCCAGATCATGATTCAGAAAGGTGAAAATCCTGATATTGTTACGTACAATGCAATGATGGATGGATACTGTTTGCATGGTCAAATGGATAAAGCAAGGAATGTTTTTGAGACCATGCTTAGTAGGGGCATTGGTCCTAATATTCTGAGCTACAGTATACTAATGAATGGGTATTTCAAAAAGAATGAAAACGACGAGGCTATGCATCTCCTCAGAGAAATTCCACAAAGAGGTTTGAGGCCTAATATCAGTATCTATAATATTGTCTTGCAGGGTTTATTTAGGATGGGAAGGTATGGTTCTGCAAGGAAAGTACTCATTGAGATGCAAGCTGCTGATGTAAATCCTGATTTTCATACGCGCTGTATAATGCTGGATGGCTTATGCAAGGGTGGAAATATGGACGAAGCACTGCAATTCTTGCATGACATGGAAGTTGATGGATCTGCACTTCATGTGTGCATGTACAACATCATTCTTCGAGGATTGGGCAAAAGTGGGTGCCTTGACTGTGCTCGGGATCTTTTCAATATTCTTCCTCTGAAAGGGATCGAACCTAATGTTGCAACATATAATACAATGATAACTACTCTTTGTCTAAAAGGTAGGCTAGAGGAAGCTAAAGAGATTTTTGTGAAAATGGAAGAGAATGGTTGTTCGGCTGATGGAATAACGTTCAATTTTATTGCTCAAGGACTTCTTAGGAGAGGTGATTATGAAGATGCACTGAGATTTCTTGAGGAAATGGATACAAGGGGATTTTCAATGGTTCCATATACTTTGTCAATTATAATAGGTTTGCTGCAAGTGAAAGAAAAAGATCCTTGTCTTTTGAAGATAATTCAAAAGTTTGGACCTGATGGGTTGTAGTTGAAGTCATAGAGTCCTTGGTGCAGTTCTCTTCTGGGTACTGGCACAGGAGAGTGATACCAGATTCTTCCCCAACTGGGCGGTATAGCCATGAAATCAAACCCATCTTCATTGTCAGGTCCACAGTTGAGAACTTGATCTGCAACTTCTTTGCATACTCAAAGGCATTGTTATAAGCAGCCGGTGACCACAGACACTCTGGAGGACATCTGAAATTCTCGTCAGCACTGGCAGGGGCTGAAGCAGACAAATAAATCTGCTTCAGCAAGCCACTCACTTTGACTTGGCCGAGCTGTGAAATTGCAAGAGCATAGGTTGCAGGCACCTCAAAGGGAGCCAGCAACCTAGGCTTGACTTGCGCATGTCAAGATAATATCTTGACAGAGCGTAATTTCGGATAAGCCATCACAGCAACGCCATTGGCCAACTGATTAGACGCCACTGGTGTGGATTGAGCATCCGTTTGTGTTTGGCATTGCAGGCGGATGATGATCTGTTTCTGCTGTTCAAGGACTTGGGGAAGTAAGTACAGAGCTGCAGTACGAAATGCTGCAAAATCAAGCTCGACGATGGTTGGAACCCCTGTGGTGTTTCGACTATCATGAAATATACTAAGATGACCCTCCAACTTCAGCGGCAGATATGAATCCGCAGACGTCATATGACAATGTTGGTTAGCCATCCCCTCCGGTGAAATCAAAAGGTCGTCATGAAAATGACGGCTCCGCCGGACGTTAGTTCTCAGAGCTCCAATGCTTGGAGGGAGCAGACGTATTTATTGGCTTTATGGCCCAATTTTTTTTCCTCTTTTGTTGTTGAAAGTCGTCTTTGTATATGTTATCTGTGATTAATTAACAGGAGTAATTACATAACCTGACAACTGCCAGAGGATCATCAGATATAAATTAACATCACCAAAAAGACTGGCTAAAAAGCTGGATATCATCAACTACAACTACAGCATCTAAGGGAGAAGTACCCGTATGTCCAGAATAGCAATTATGGATTAGAATTGGCGCCAACTGTTCCTCTACTGCCTTGATCAAAGCTTCTCTAATTACTACACGGCCCAATAACAAGAGGTAGATAAATCAACGATCTGTTTTCTGTTCCTTTTGTTTTTTCCATGTGGTTTTGGACTTGGGAGTTGGAAGGCTGTATTGCTCGAACTTGAAGATGTAGGACTAAAGTTGTATGATTTCTAGATATGATGAAACTTTCACCATTACTAACTTTTGCTTAGAATTTTTGTTTCCAAGAAAAAAAATTTGGTATTATAACAAATAATAGACATCATATTTTAGGATAAAGTATGAGAATTAATCTTTTATACATAACCAGTGTAAGAATTTATTGTGCTTGCAAATTTAGACGTATCCTATACATATATAAAAAGTAGTTTGCTTCTGACTCTTGGGAATTTTTCATCTGTCTTGTGGAGGAGTATTTTAGGGAGTGAAGAAATGACATGGCAGATTTTGTGCAAAGAGTACAAGGTAGTTGATGTTGTAATAATAGTGTGTTCTCTATATTGCCCTCTTTTGGCTTAGTTTGTGACGGACGGTTGGGAAATGAGCATTATTCTCTGTAGGGGTATTTTGGGTAGAGGCAAGTAGGGAGAAATGGTGAGACCTAACATACAACATGATAATACTTTTGCCAATGTTGGTTGCCTATAATGCCCTCTTAAGCGGGCACATAGCTTTTAAATAATGAACTTAATGGCTGAAATCTGACATAAGAGCGATAAAGCTTTGATGGAGAGAGCTTTAAAGGAGGGTACTTGGAAAAATCGTTTGTGTAACCGATGAATAGAGTAAGTGTGTTTGAATTGGTGAATTATCCCAAAAATATTTTGTTTATAACATAAACACATTTTTCAATTCACCTTTTTATATTTCCAACTACTTTTTTATCTTACATATATCACATCATAAAAAATGTTACAGTAATTATTTCAAATAATACTCTATCCAAACACACTTACTGTGTAACGCAACAAGTGAGTCATTTTTGTTTGGATTGTAAATTATTTGAGATATTTTTACTGTAACACTTTTTGTGATGTGATGTATGTGAGATAAAAAGGTAATTGGGAAGATAAAAAGGTGTATTGGAAAGTGTAATGATGATGTAAGCAAATATATTTGGCCAAATAATCTGCTGTCCAAACAAACTTAATTTGCAGTCAATACAAATAATATTGCAATATTTTTGAGCTACCATAACCGATGAATGGTGTCACCGGAGCGAGTGAAGCATTTATTGCAGTACTTTTGAGCTACCGGCCAGTAATGGAAATTCTATACATATTAAACAATCTTGGCTCACATATTTGTGGTTAGAAAGGTATAGTCATTTCATGCTGCAATTTCACCATTTTTAATGTGTAGGAAGTAGATTAGATACACGTTAATATGCGTGGGGAATTTTTTAATATATGCTAACTATATTTGTGAATTGTCAATTTTACTTTTTTAGGCGGCAAAGTGGTTTGCATATATAGGGATTTCTGGTGAAGGTAAGCTCTGAATCTTCGCTCCACAAATGGTGCATGCCAATTGTATATTTATGTATAGGATTCTTTACCCAATGGTGTGACTATTTGTGTAAATATCTCTGCTTATTGTGCTTTATATATTAATTTAAATGCTTTGTTTAGCCTACTTGACAAAGGTGTTGCTTTCAGCATTTAATTTATTTATCATTGTTTTGCAGTTGCTCTTATGATGTAAACTTTTGGGCATCCCTATATTTGCCACCGCTGTGATGGCATATGCAAAATTGACCTCATTTGCACTGCACTGATATTTAGGATGGTTGGATGTAATGATAAATTTATTGCTAAAAAACAAATTCGTAATGAAAGATCAAGGCAGAGATATGGTTCGTCATCCATTGAACAAAGAGAAAAAATTCGTGAAAAACAACCGCAAGATTATAAGAGACGTAAAGCAGTTGAGAAAATTGTTGGACCTCCATTTCAACCCATGATGGGGAAATTTGCTGGTGTCCTTATTGTGAGTGTTGGAAATTTGCTGGTTCTTTTGTTGCAACTACACTTATTGCAATTTTTCTCATTGTAATACCAAGCTCATTCTTCCGCTTTCATGGTTAAAAATTATAATTTCCTACGATTCCTTTCACAATCATACGTCGTAATGCATTACAAATTACATCGGATACAACTACACTTATAGCCACCAACATCTACAAGTTAATACACCAAAACCAACCCACAAGTCAAAACACCTGCGCCATGCGCCGACAGACCCCTAGTGTTACATTATAAATTTACCTTTTTCACATATGTAGCATGCATCTACAAGCACTAGTATAATAGAGAATAAAAAGTTAATCTGAATTATTTTTGCAAGCTGAAGTTAGCCTTTGATGCTCTTTCTTGCTTCCCCTTCCCTTTCCTAGTTGATTCAAGAGACAGACAAAGATGAGGATTGAATAATTTGCATGCATAAAACTTCTTTGAATGTTGAATATAATTGGATTGGTAGCCGATGCATTGGAGGAAAATCTCAGGTCAGCAATACTTGATCATGTGCTGCTCAATTATAATCCTATAGGATGATGATTATCTACCATTAGTGGCAGCTAGTAGCACTCCATTCATACTACTGTTCATGTGCAATATTAATGTACTTGGTCAACCTAGTTAGTTGGATCCAAATTTGAAAAATGTTTTTCTAATTTTATAGCACCAATAAAAATTAACTTGTTCAAAGAAAAAAAATGAAAATCGATCTTTAATTTTAAGGGATCTAAGCATGCGTTGTAGCAAAAATCTTTGTTTGGAAATCTTCTGTGATATAGCACAGACCACTGTTTACCATCTTTGCTTTTCCATCATAAATTACTCTAATCCTTCCTGCAAGTCAAATTGTTATCCATAAATAAACATCGATCATATTTTCTTTTCTTGGTAAAATACAGAACTTGGTACATCAATTAAACATCTTCGTTATTCAATAAAATATACATCATATTTTATGTATAAATTGATACGTTGACAAGCATAAAAAAGCAAAAAAATCTTGCATCTTAAGGCAATTCTAGGCATCAAGATGCCCACATATGTACTCTTTCTTTGTCCAGATTTCTAGTCATATATACGCCACTATTCCCCACAATGCCTAAGAGAAAATATTTTACTTCTTCCTGAAGAAGTCATCATTGCATTTCATTGACAATTTTGCAGAACGTGACTTCAACAAGATATTGAAAAAAATATGTGGAACTGAGAACACTTTGACCCCATGTCCTGGGATAATAGTTGAAACCAACCTACTTTAGAAGAATATTAGTTAAGACTAATCATTAGTACTTAAAACATAGTGAAGACTGATTTCTTCTTCTTAAATAAAGAAGCCAACATTTGACATAAAAGAGCTTGGAAACTGATACCTTGTTGACCTAAGATAAGTGGACCAGTTATGAGTTATCCACTCTGTCAAAGACAAATACTCTGATAGACATCATCCAATGAGGGCCAAAAATAAAAATAAAATGACACGGAAACTGGAATATATATATATAAGCCATATACAATGTCAGAAATCTCAGCAGAACGTGTCCTCGTACTGCAGAGATAACAAAATAGGGTGATGGTATCGAAATTAATGGCATCAGCAGCTTTAGTTTAGCTAGCAGATCATAGAAAATTGATTTGCAAATTTCCTGTTAGGAGTCAGGATGAGCAAGATCATATTAGTGAGTCGTGATAATGAAAAAGCTAAATCTAACATTATCAGCAGCAGCAGGGGATATGCCTAGTTCTGGGACTTGATTTTCCTTTCTCTGATGTTATACATTAGAATTCACAGCGCATATGTTTCCTTTGAATTCCTCCTGCAATACTTGTGGAGCAATAGTATCATCTTTTCCCTCATATCCATGTAAAAGACAATCAAGATTTGCCACAAATAGGTACAAAAAGTGCAGTAAAGCTCTTCCTGTGTAAAAGAAGTGGACTATAATAGTAAGTAGAACAGAAGAAATGGATGAAAGCATATCAGCGAAAGCAAAGTTACACCTTTGATGGTTTCCCTGACATCAAGAATAGAATATAAGCTATACAAAAAGAGCATCCTTGTTAACCAATTGAAACAATTGTTCAAGGGGTTTCCATGTCCATAGTTTTACACAATCAGATGCATTTAGGATGTATATTACTCCACAAAAGCACTTCATAAGCATAACATTTCTGTAAAAACAATGCTGAAAAGACATGACCATGAGGCTGATATTATGGAAAATTTTCAAAAGGCAAAACCTCACACTTCAAGAAAACAGCCATTAAGAAATAAAGAATCGTGCACTTTTGTCTTTTGATCATTATCTCACACCCCAAAATCAACCATGGCTCAATAGAAAGCACAAAACTAGAGCTTTCTGCTGCGATAAAAGTTGTAAAGGGAATCGCCATACACAAAATTAGATCTTTCTCTCTTTGTGAATGTAACTATATGGTAAATTAAACAAATCCCACCTCCCATAATTAGCAAACTTTTCCCTAATCTAAAATGAACCATTTAAACTGCTTACTCTCATTTACAACATTTTGACAATAAAACCAAGAAGATAATCAAGAATACAATTGAAGATAGCCCAATTGCAACACCAAGAACAACCTTACTAGTGCCACCATGATGGTCCCGGTTGGGGCTGGCATTATCACCACTATTGTCATTATCATCAGAGCTATCACTTGAACTTTCTAGAGATGAATCCTTAGCTGGAGGAGGGGACATAGGCAATCCATGTTTATCACAAGGAGCAATCCCCATCTTCACTTTCACAGCAAAACTTGAATGATTATAACATAAATTATCATTGCTACCAATCTTGAAAACCTCCAATTTCTTCAGGAAAGAAGCATTAAAAGGCAAAACCCCATGAAAACTGTTATTCTCAAGATTCAAGTACTTCAACTTCTTCAGGTCGGAAACGAACTTGGGAACTGTTCCATTTAGCTGGTTAGACCCCAGATCAAGATGGACCAAGTCCGGCATTGCTGCTATCGAATCCGGGATCGACCCTGATAGTGAATTTGAGGCCAACGACAGATTCTGCAGCGAAGTCAAGTCCCCAATACCAGGAGGGATTTCTCCATCAAGCGAATTGGATGACAAATTCAGGACCAAAAGATTCTCCATAACATTTAAGGAAGAGGGTATTTTCCCTTTTAGCTGATTGCCAGACAAATCTAAATGCGTGAGATTCGGATGCCAATGTTTTTGGAGAAATCCAGTGAGATTTGTGTGTGAAATTGTAACAGAACGCAAGTTTTTCATGCTGCCAAGGATTATAGCAGGGCCACTAGCAATAACAGTCACATGGGAAACAGTTAAATCAGTTACATTTAGTAACCTACTTAGCCAAACTCCAGTGAGTTTCTTGAGGCTATTGATGCATGTGAAAGAGTGAAGATTTGAGGTGAGCTCAGAGGGGAAGCGAATGGGAGAAATGGGGCAGTCAATAAACTTAAAAGAAGTTAAAGTTGAGAGGGTTTTCAGAGCTGTAAGAGACAGAGCAACATCATCTGAGCAATTGGCTAAGGTGAGAGAAACGAGGTGCCTAAAGGGCTTGGAGGAATCGCAAATCATGGTGGAGTTGTGGAGGGGAGAACAGGGGTTTTTGCCAGTTGGGATGTTGAGGGATTGGAGGGCTCTTACTTGTTTTGGGTCCAGTAAAGAGGCGGAGGTGGGAGTTGGAGTGGAAGGTGTGGGTTTTGCTGGGGTTGGGGAGGATGCTGGGGTTGGGGAGGTGGAAGGGCGGGGTGCAGTGGGAGCTTTAGTTGGAGAGATGGTGGTGGGAGGGTGGAGGGAAGTGGAAGGGCTGGGTGCAGTAGGAGCTTTAGTGGGCGAGATGGTGGCGGGAGGGTGGAGGGAGGCGGAGAGAGCGATGGAGGAAAACTGGAGGAGGAGGAAGAAGATGAGGGGGCCAAGGATGAAGAACGGTGGAGCATCTGATGATGCCATTTTTTTGTGTTTTCTTGGAAGAATGTGTTGGAGAAGATTGTGTAATGGCAGTGAAGAGTGAGGAGGGTCAAGTGAAGTGCTGGAAAGTGAGTGTACTGAGAAGTGAGGAGAGATTAGAATCATTATATTCGCATTCGGTGGATGGGGTGACAGTTGTGATGACTCTTTATACAGCCTTGGATTTGCACGTAATTACAAAACTTGCACTGGAAAGAGAGGGACAGACAAGGAGGCCGTGGCCTGTGGTGTGGGGCATATCCGTTTCGTTTTCGTTTTCGTTTTGAATAGTATGTTTTTGTTCTAATCCTGCAGACACAACCTCTTTTGTTTTTTTTTTCCAATCGATCGTCAACTTCTACGTCTTCCACCAAGGAAGGATTCAATTGGACCAAGAGAGCTTGAGGAATAGAATCTCACCTCTAGATCAATCAAAGTGGTACATTACTGTACAATCTTTAAATTTTATTATACTTTATTACAAATGCAGATGTTTGAACTCCTGTCGGGCCTATAATTTGTTGCTTCATTTCATCTGATGGTAACTATTTTAAGGAGAATTGATTGCAAACAGAACATCTGGTGGTGGAATTATGTAGTCACCGACTAGAACATTTTGATCCTAGCACGTAAATCACAAGTCAACTTCAAGTCTTTGAGCATTAGGCTAAGTACGTTAAGGAGGAGAGTAACTAACTCTCTATCACCTGTAAAATTGGTTCACGATTGAGCTTTCTTTTCCTTAAATTTGATAACGCATCCAAGCCGCTGGAATGGTGACACACAATCTTGGAAATTCCTTTGATCAATGACATGAGAAGTAGAAAATAATTGGGAAATTTGCCAAATTGGTCCCTAACATTTACCAAAAACACTTTTTTAGTCCTTAACATAAAAAATCAGCCAAAATGATCCTTCACATTTAAATTATGAGCCAATTTGGTCATATTGCTCGTTTTTGCTCATTTCTCCGGCTAAAAATAGCACCCCCCTCACGTGGTCATATTTTTAGGGGCAAAACCGGAAAACACATTTCATTACCGGTCAAAAGAAGCCATCTTTCCTTCATCTAATCACCGCCGGAGTTTGAATTAGGTACATAGGAGGAGGCTCGGTTCCCCCAACCCCAACTCCAACTCCAACTCCAACCCCAGCTGGAAAAGGCCCTTGTCTTTCCTGCCAATACGGCGCCGGAGTTGTCACCGGCGCAACCTGCTCCGCCTGAGGAGCCTGGGGTGGAGGTTTTTGCTGGTAAAACTCATCGACTTTCCTCCTGTACATATCTTGATCATGGCCTGAAATTTGCATCTTCTGCAACTCATGCATCTGCCGTTGAATCTCCGCCGCAGGAGGAACCACGGGCTCGCCTATCACCTGCCGAACCATAACCGTAGGGGCCACCGGCGGAGGATCCTGCAACTTCGCCGGCGTGGGATGACCCTTTTCCAAACCAAACAAAAAATCAGGGCTCCTCGCCGGCTCCTCCACCCCAGAAACCGCCACAGACTGCGGAGAAGAGCCCTCCAAATTCTGATTAATCTGCGCAGCATTCAACGCGTCAACAAACCACTGCCTCTCAGCCTTGGAATCATCCGACTCAAAACTACTCACGGACGGCGGTGGGTTGGCATTCAACAGAAATATAAACAGCCTCAGCCTCGTCGGCTTAGCTGAAGACCGATGAAGACGGTCATATTCAATGAAATGTGTTTTCCGGTTTTGCCCCTAAAAATATGACCACGTGAGGGGGGTGCTATTTTTAGCCGGAGAAATGAGCAAAAACGAGCAATAGGACCAAATTGGCTCATAATTTAAATGTGAAGGATCATTTTGGCTGATTTTTTATGTTAAGGACTAAAAAAGTGTTTTTGGTAAATGTTAGGGACCAATTTGGCAAATTTCCCTTTTAAATTTATATATGAAAAAAATGTTAGGGATTCAAAATTTTTGGATTAAATTTTTATATTAACTTTTATAGTACTTAGTTCAAATTTTTATATTCTTATTATTCAATTGTTAAATAATATGTAATTTTGTGAAATAGAGTATAAATGAAAAAAATTGGTAATTAGGCTTATTGAACATTATAAGTAAATATTTAAAACTAATGATGGGTACAAAGAGTGGTATAAATTGATAACTTAGTTTGCAAAAATAAATTTAAATGAATTTACAAAAAATTAAAATAAATGGGTTATAAATGAGTAATTGGGTTACCCAATTCATTTTTTGACTTACCCATTTATACCCATCTAATTAAATGGGTATAGATGGGTTGACTCACTTATACCCATTATCCATTTTACCCAACCCAAACCCGTCCAAGTCACCCATTTTGACACCTCTACTTAAAACGTACGAATCAACCTACGATACTCGTGCGTGCCCGATTAATTATATGAATTATTTTGGAGTCATACTTTTTTTTTTTTTTTTAAATTTATGACTCATTTACCGTTCTTTTCATGCATGTAAGAAAAGACCATCTCAACAATCAGATAAACAAATCAGGAATGCATGCCGGCAAATGTAAAAAAATTTTGTAAGTAGATTCAGTTGGTAAGAACAAATTATTTACTTACAAAAGGTGATATGTTCGAATCTTACTATTAATGTGAGAGTTGTATTGGTAGATGATTTATAGAAATTCTTGTAAACGACTTATGATTTCAAAAATTTGCCCTAATTCGTGACGGTGAGCGAAACTGAATTCATTTAAACTTTTATTCTAAAAAAAAAAAGAAAAAAAAGAAAACAAATGTCAAAAGAGTCAAAGGAGTCCAAGCAGTCAAATTTAAGTTCCCCATGTCGGGCAAAGTTACAATGACAATTGAATAATAATTAATCCTACGTTCCCAAGGCAGTTATCCGTTACGGGTATAAATCCCAAAAATTTAGCTGGAAGCAGGTGGGTGCTAACTTTAATATTTCTAACTTTCTTTCTTTTCTTTTTTTTGGTGGGTGCTAAATCCTTTTCAAACTAATGTATCAGGAAATTAACCTAAATCCTTTTCTTGCTTTTTTTTTTTTCAAATATTTCCTTCTCTGCTTTGTTTTCCTTCATCTGTCAGTCTTCCCTATCCATTTCAACTCTTTACAACAATTGACTTCATTCATTATCATCACAATCTACAACCAAATGATTGTTCACCAGCCAAGACTCCCTTCCCTTTTTCTTTACTTTTTTTTCCCTTCTTTTCCTTCACAAAAGTCTCATAAAAGGAAAAATAAAAATAAGAAGAAATAAAGACAACATTTCTCAACCATAATGTGTCATTTTGATGGAGCAGTGTGAAGCACCCATTGAAAAATTTTCAGGGCTGTAATATGGATTATATTAAAAAGGGTATACTGGATTGATTATTCAGATTGAGTAATGGTAGGGTAATTTTTACATTCTGCCTTGCAAATTTCAACAAGTGAAATATAGAATTGTTGTATAATTTAAAATATTTGTGACAAATTATTAGTACTTAATAGTATCATTATAACTTTCGGATCAAATTCTCATAAATTGAAAGTGGGGTTGTGAGGTGCCACAAGCACAATAATTTGGAGGTGGGATTTAGCCCAAACATAATTAACTCGCCATCAGTGTTCTGTTAAAAAAGAAAGGGTAATGATTGTGTCAATTTCAAGTAGCACTGAAAGATAAGTTCTTCTTCTTCAGCACACACCTTGAAAAAAGTAGAAATAATTCAGATCATGAATGAAGATTCTTTGTCCTTTTCACTAAAGAAAGACTATTTGTTTGCTGCCTCTATTCCTGCTTCCACTGAATGGAGACAAATTATCAACAATTTATTTGATGCAATTTTCAAATGAGTCAAAATCATAAGCCCTTCTTGAAGATCAAATTTTTGGGAACAGCTAGCATTAATTCTCATGGGTATTTGATGATTTTATAGCAATCAATAAGTAAAAATCAATTCGTGTTGAAGAAAAGGAAATCTAGGAAGTTGCTTCTATCTTTTTCTAAATCAAAGTGGTTGGTATTCTTAATTTGCATTCTTGTGATATTCCCACCTCTAATTCTAATGCTTTTGGTTATCAAATCAATGGCATGCTAAAATCTCACTTTGGTCTCATGCATGGCAGGAAAGAAAAAGCAAGATATATATATATATATATATATATATATATATATATATATATATATATATATATATATATATATATAAAAGAAACAAGAAAGGAAAAATTATTGCTACGAGTTCTGATATTTGTCAACTGATGTAACTCAAAGATCACACAACTTGCATACAAATTGGTTATTCATACATAAAATCAAAATTTTTAATAACTCACAATACTTGTTGCTAAGATGAGTGGGTGGTCTACTAAGTAGCATTAAAGTACCTGAGTTGAAAATCTTTGAATAGACATTGAAATACTACTTCAGTTGCTTGACCTTTAACAGCTAGTTTGGGAGTTTGGAATAGAAAAGAAAAGGGGAGAAAGCTTAAGTTATGAAAAAAGAAAAAGAAAAGAAAAGAAGAGATTTAGTTTTGACGTTGTTTAAAAGGTTAGGAAAGAGATGAAATGATATTAGATATATTTATTGATAAAGTAGCATCTTAAAAAATTTCGCAAAGTTTGTTTCAACTTTGTCTTGTTTTCCTTCCATATTTGGGTGAATTTTTTTTTTTTTTTCAATTGTAGCTGTTAGAACAATCCATCAAAAAAAAAAAAAATCCATCAAAATCTTCCTATTTCCTTTCTTTTCCATCGCTCAACCACTCCCAAACATCAGAACAAAGATATCTTCTCTCACTTTTTTTTTTCTTTTCCCGTCAAATCTAAGCAAGCTCCCAAACTAAGCGTAAGAGTTGAATCAAGCATTGCAAACCTAATTTCCATGATGGTAAGAAGTATAAAAGCCAAGCAACATACATAATAATTTCTTTCTTTCTCCTTTACGTAGTGAAGAGACTAGTTCTCACCTAGCAACAACATGATGTTCAAAACCCTGTTCCTCAACAAACATTAACTTCATAATGAAGGCAGAACTTGTTTTCCATTTTCAGCCCAATACATTGAAACCATTTGATATTTTCATGTGCTACAGACATTTTGTACACTCAAAACAATTCTTACAAGTAGAGTCTTCCTG